ACAGGCATGTCTGAAGACATAAAAACCTGGATGACTCTTAACTTTCTCCTTCTGAATGCAGACAAAACAGAAGTTATAGTCTTTGGATCAGAGTCTTTTAATATGAATGGGATTAAAAAGATTCAAATAAAGTAAAAAATCTTGGTGTTGTTTTTGATCAGGACCTGTCATTTAAATCCCATATCAAAGAGGTTTCTAGAATTTCCTTTCATCTGCAGAATATTGCAAAAATGTGAAATATCCTGTACAGGGGTGATGCTGAGAAGACAACTAAATTCTTTTGTTCTAAATGAGTGGGATTCACAAGTAAAAAATAATAATAAAAATAAATAAATAAATAAACATGGAACTTCTTTGTTGAACCACAGTTTTCTGTTTTTTTTTTTTTGGTTTTGTTTTTTTTACTCAAGTCTAAGCTGACATGTTTATTTCCATTAATAAGTAAACTAAGTTGCTGCTTTGTACCATCAAACCATACAATGAATCCTACATTATTACACCAGCTCAATGTCTTTGAGATGTGTCATTATTGACTTAAAATTTAATTTGGCTGTTTCAGAACAGATAAAAAAAATCCTTAATGTTTGAATTTGATATCTAAAGAATAGTGATCATTGTTTGGTGTTGAATTAAAATGACTGGAATCTGACGTTAAAACACAAATAGCCTAAATATTAGTAATTCAACTAATTGATGCTCGTCAGTCCAGCCAGTGGTACAGACCACAGTTTCTACCCAGGGGCGGAGCTAGATTGGGGGGCCCCCTGTGGCCACAATACAGATGGTGGGAGCACTAATACTGTCAAGTGTAATATTAAAAACATTTACATTTTTGTGGTTATTTATACACATCATTAAACTAATATCAAATATGATATATATAAAGAATTCCTGCTCTTTTCAGAAATACATTTTGTGTTATATGGGGTAAAGAGAAGATGATGTCTCTGCAAGTCATCTAGGAGTCTTCATTAAAATCATAGATAAATAACAATTTTAATAAAAACATTTCAAATAATAAATTTATGTAGATATTAGTGCTTGTAAATATCAAGTTAGACACAAGTAGGAAAGTATTGACAATGGAAATAATTTACACTGTTAAATAAGGAAGTTAGGTCCCCTGAAGGCGGCTGCGCCTTGGAGCTTCCTTTCCGTAGCAAGTTATTTACTACTCTTAACTCAAACTGGGTAAAACCATTAAAAAAACTACTATAAAACAGGAGTAAAAAGTAAAAGCATTTATTCCAGGTCAGGTCATTACAGGACAGAGAAATTGCTTGGAGCTAGCACAGCTGTGGGCTCAAAGAACATCAGCGAGCGTCCGGCAAAGATTGAGCCCCGAACATGGTCATCTCCTCCTCCTTATACCTCATGAATCCATGTGTTGCATCAGGTGGAAGCTCAGCTGTCCCTATCAGAAACTGACACGCCATCCATGCTCTGACCTTCATGCATCTTGCCTCTTTACCCCAAGATTACACATAGCTCTCCTTTATCAGTCCGGCTCCAAGATGTGCCCATATCCTGTGAATTTTTAAAGACACAAAGGCTGTCCTGATTAGATGACCTCCGAACACACACTGACATCCACCATGTGAAGGAAGGCCTTCTACTCTGGCTAAGAGAGTAACAATGCACATGATTTATAAAGAATAAACCTAACAACACCCAGGAACTCAAAACTGAGTTTTATCCACCATACCTTTTATCTAGAAGTTACAGATGTTTAAATATATGCATCTATTAGTTAGCAAGGAAAGTATAGCTTGTCTTTATTTAGAATATATGGATTTTTTGCTAATTAATTTTCCTTTTGCAATAGTGTAGATTAACCCTAAGGTGCTGGTTTTTATCCGCTTTGGGCCACCCCTCAGTCTACATTGGTTATTGCCTGGACACCCTGATAAAAATGTTCTGTCTACGCCTCTGTTTCTACCCAAATATGTTTTAAAATGCTCTTAATGATTATAATGTTCTACAAAGGAAGAGAGGCCTCAGCTTTTTTATTGTGTGTCTGTTAAATAATTGGTATAGAAAATCACCAAACG